CACGAAGAGTCGGACACGACTAAACGAATAAACAAAATGCTCTGAGAAAAGCGAGTGCTGAGGAGACAAAATTGGAAGCCAGGGTCAAGAGAAATAGCTGAGGTGACTGAAACTAACTGAGACTTAAAGAAGATAAATATTTCTAAAACAGCTGGGTGCCTGGAGGCAAAGATAAACAGTATCTCAGACACAGGAACAGCGAGAGTAGGGGCCTAAAGGAATAAAGTAGCCATCCAGAGCTGCCAACAGAGAGCTACAGGGTCTCAATCTCTCTAACGCTGAAAAGGAAAAAAGTATTTTAAACCAAGGCTTCCCTAACTGCCTCTGAACAAACCAACCAGCTTGTCCAAAGAAACACATAGAAACATGCCTTCTAAGCGAGGGAAAAGGTTAGCGATGGAAGTATCTGATGTGCAAAGTTTACCTCATGAGGAGGAGTGCTCTCTTGAAATGATAGAGCAGGAAGAGGCTCAGGAGGAAACCCCAAGAGAAGAAACTGGGTTAACCTCACAAGAATTTGAAAGATGGAGGTTGCAGCAGGAATTTAAATTAAAAGAATTAGAGATAAGAGAAAAAGCCAGAGCTGAAGAAAGATAACAATTACAGCTCAAAGTTGAGTCTTAAGCCAGACAGTTAGAAATAAGGACTAGGGCTAAGGCTGAAGCCAGACAGTTAGAAATAAAAGAAAGAGCTGAAGCAGAAAAGAGACAACTGGAAATGAGAGCAAAAGAAATGGAATACCAATTAGAAATGAAAAAAATTGGAATTGGCATCTCTAAACTGTAGCAGAAAGATAACAATTACAGCTCAAAGTTGAGTCTTAAGCCAGACAGTTAGAAATAAGGACTAGGGCTAAGGCTGAAGCCAGACAGTTAGAAATAAAAGAAAGAGCTGAAGCAGAAAAGAGACAACTGGAAATGAGAGCAAAAGAAATGGAATACCAATTAGAAATGAAAAAAATTGGAATTGGCATCTCTAAACTGTAGCAATTATAATAATACAACTGAGAGGATCTCAAAAGTGGACATTAAGAAATTCCCTCAATTTAGAAAGGGTGATTGCCCAGAAGCATTCTTGATCCTGTTTGAACAGGCATGCTGGGACTATAATGTGAGAGGAGAAGAGAAAATGGTTATTCTTAGAAAGCAAATAAGTGGGGAACTAGCTGAGATTTATTGTCAAATGACACAAGATCAAGCAAGAGAATATGAGGCATTCAGAAAACTGGTTTTCACGAGATTTGGAATCAATACTGAGCACCCCAGAAGGAAATTTAGAGCACTGACAAAAAAAACTGAGGAATCCTATTCTCAATTAGGTGCAAATCTAGTCAGGTACTTGGGAAAATGGCAAGAACAAGCTAATGTTGAAACTTTAGAGGATATACAAAATATTATTGGACTAAAATAATTCTATTTGGTTCTGCCTGGAGAACTAAGATATTTAGCCAGAGATTAAAAGCCTAAAACAGTACAGCAAGCGAAGCGGCTGATTATATATCAAAAACCCAAAATTTTCTGAGGTAAAATTTGGTGGTAGAAGCTGGGGGGACAGAAAGAAAGAGCCCAGGGATTACCCCAGAAACAAACAGGCAACTGGAAGCCATTTTAGGGACCAAGCCTCAGAGCAACATCAACAGAGGTATAAAAGTTTTAAAGGGGAGACAAGCCCCTATACTTTGAACAAAGAGCCCCAAAAACTTGTTATGGGCATGGAGAAAAAAGGACACTTAATTTCCCAATGTCAGACATCAAAGAATAAAGAATTTAGTCAACAAAAAGGATGGGGAATTTTGTCCAAGAAAGTGTACTGTATGCAACAGCAGAGAGAGAATGCTGAGGCAGTTGAAAATGACATAGTGGCTGTTAGAGCAGAGAGCCAGGAAGAACAGCCGCCTTTAGCAAATGTTGTGCAATGTTATTTTATTAAAAGCAACCAGGAGCTGCTTCGTTACTCTGGAGAAAATATTTATATAAATAATACTAAGTATCTAGCTTTGAGAGACTCATGCTCTCAAGCAACTTTGTGTCATTCTGATATTGTCCCTCAGGGAGATATCATAAAAAATGAACAAATAACCATAAATGGGATAGGGACCGAATTAATTACTCTACCCATGGCTAAAGTACACATGAAATATCAAGGGTGGAATGGAATGTGGAAGGTAGACATCACAAATCAAATTCCTGCCCCTTATTTGATTGGGTTGGATTTATCTGAGCATGTTAAGAGTGTTTTGATAACTACTTGCTCCCAGATAGAAAAGAATGAAACATCTGAGGAAAAATGTGAGATCCCTGATGAAGAAATGGGAGAAAATGAAGCAAATGAACTAGCTGAGGTGGTGAATATAAGGAATCCTCATGAAAACAGTTTTAGACAAAAACAAAGATGGGGTTCTATTTAACAACAATACTTTAAGTTGGCCAGAGAAGGACCAATAACCCCTGAGTACCCTGAAAGATTCTTTGTGGACAGAGACCTGTTATATAGGGAGGTCTTGTTAAATCCTAAGAGGGGAGGGGAAAGCATCCACAGACAACTGGTCATCCCTTTTAAGTACAGGGAAAAGATCATAGAAAGGGGACATACAAACACCTTTGCAGCACATTTGGGGATCACACACACAAAGCAGAATATAGCACAAAATTTTTACTGGCCTGGGATGGGGAAGCAAATAAGATCATATTGTCAAAGCTGTGACATATCTCAGAGGCAATGACAAAACTAAAGCTAAATTGTGCCCTTTACCAATTATAGCAACCCCATTTCAACGCATAGGCCTGGACATTGTGGGACCATTATCTAAAGTAATGAGAAGGGGAAACCGTTTCATTTTAACAATAATAGATTATGCCACCAGATATCCAGAAGCCATTCCATTGTGAAATATAGAGACCGAAACTGTGGCAAATGCCTTGGTGAACTATATGTGTCGCATGGGCTTCACTTCAGAAATTCTCAGTGATTTGGGAACATCATTCACTTCCAGATTAATGAAAAGGCTGTGGCAACTTTGTGGCATAGCTCATATTACATCATCCCCATACCATCCTCAGACAAATGGACTAGTGGAGAAATTTAATCGGATCCTAATGTGAATGATCAGAGCTTATACGGCTGAAAACTCCAACGACTGGGATCATAAGATACAAACCCTGTACCCCAGGAAAGCACTGGTTTCAGTCCAGTTGAACTGCTATTTGTGCAGAAAGTGAGGGGACCCTTGGATTTACTCAGACAAAATTGGGAGGAACAACAGGGAGAAGACCCTGAGACAGTGATCCAGTACATAGATAATTTAATGAATTCCTTGCAACAATCTCTGAAGTTGGCCACAGAAAATTTGCAGAGCCAGCAAGGGAAGCAAAAGTTATGGTACAATAAAAAGGCCAGAGAAAGATCATTCAGTCCGGGAGAGGAAGTCCTGATGCTGAGGCCTATAAAAGGGAATAAGCTGCAATTAAACTGGGCAGGTCCTTTTAGAATAATATCCAAGATGAATGAAGTAAATTACATAATTCAGGAGGAGAGAGAGGATGGTCGACAAGTGGTTCATGTTAACATGATAAAACCTTACTGTATAAAATAAATAGTGGTCCTATATGCCAAGAAGGAAGGGGACAACGAAAAACATGAATTGCCATATTGGGAAGGTGGGGCAAACTCCAATATAAACCAGGGGATGTTAAGATCTGTGACACGCTAACCCCAGAACGAAAAGAGGAAGCAAGGGCCTTGCTACTAAAATACAAGTAGGTCTTTTCAAATAAACTGGGGCTAACAAAGGGAGTGGTGCACAAAACTGAGACAGGTGATGGACCCCCTCAAGCGGTCACACTATACAGAGTGACAGGGTTGTATGTAACAAAGGTTCACCAGGAACTAGAGAGATTCATGATTGGTACTGTGATGGTAATATCCTCTGGTGGCAGCGAAAAAGGGTGAAAAGAACAAGTCGTGTCTGAAGTTGACTCTGTGAGAGAGGGAAAACAAACAGGGGACACTGGGGGTGCACGACAGTCATCATATCATTTTCAATGTTAATACTCTTCCTTATGGCAATTCTTGTTGACTTTGAGATCTGTTTCTGTGTTTTTTCTTTGAATTATAATTATAATTAATAATTTGTACCCACTGGTCTCTTTCAAAGCCCATCTTATTCTAGGTGCCACATCCGATGCATGTTTAGCCAACAGGTAGGTATCTGTTTGGGAGAGGTTCCCAAAAGCAGTAATCAACAGAACCCGGCAGCAGCAGAGTTTATATTTTTGTGGGCTGCTGTGTAAACTCCTATTGATTACATAGGATTGCTTAGTTATGGAGTGAGAAAACCTTTGGCTCTTCACATGTTTTGGACTTAACTCTGAATTCTTCAGGCAATGGAAAGGGATTATGAGACTTCTGATCCAGCACAGCTAGAAGGCACTGGTTAGGGGAAGGTATGCCTACTTTCTATCCACTAGTCTTTGCCTACTGACTGGCAACTTCCCTCTCTTTGTTGTTTACAATCACTGCCATTAAGCAGATTGATTTATACATTTTCCAGTGGTCATGATCAGTCACAGAATCCTACTTTCAACCCCTCTTAGTGCTCAAGGACTCATGAAAGAGAAGGAGGGCAAAGTGGTGTCCCCCTAAAAGAGAATGGTTACACCATTCAGAAAAGGCGGATAGGTCCAGGAGATATTGCTGTTTGTTTTCTTGACACAAATCAGTACAATTACCCTCTAGATTGTGGTTTCTTCTAAATTTCAATACCCTCAGGGAAAGCCTCAAGTGCTCCACTTTATTGACAGCCCTGCTTATATTTGCTTCTCTCTCAACCTTTGCTTATTCCACTTTTGAGATACCATAAGGACCCACCCGCTGTTTTAGGTTGTGGCCAAAAATCTCAAGGAATGGGACACTCTGCACCTGACAATCCTACCAATACATGAATTCTATTGTGTTTCTAAGTTACATAACTAGATCTGCTATCCATTGCCCTCCTTCTGCTGCAAAACAAACAGAAGTCTTACCTTAACCACAAGGATGGGTCCCACTACATTGATATTGAAGGTACAAAGCATTTCTTGCTGCTCCACAGTTTGCAATGTATCATAGGTATCCACGCCTGCATTGTTGATGAGCAGATTCAGGCCCTTTCCTTCCAGATAAGATTGTACAATTGCCACAGCAGCCTTCACACTGGATTGGTTCTCCACCTCTTCCATTTAGAAATAACAGCAAACCCAAGTATCAGACTGAAAACTGAAATTTTTCTATGGTGTAGTGCCTAAATTGTCGAATGTGTATGAGCCACCAACATATCTTTCTCCATTATGTACTTCACTCCAGATTTTTCTCTACTATTTGATTGTTACACTACATTTCAACTCAGGTACAAATATTTAAATGGCAAAATATACAAGTGGAGGTATCAAAATATGACACGAGCATTTAAATAACCAGGTTTCTTCTACTGATGCTCTGGGAAAGAGCAAATTCCTGCTTGTGAAAAAAAGGAAAGTGAATAATTCCATACCTAACTGGACCACATGAATGCTGGGGTACTTGTCAGCTAGATCATGCAAGGCCTGGAATTGGAGAAAGAAAGGTTCTGGAGTTAGGAATAGATCAAAAGAATAGGGGATTTAATGGATTGTTATAACATAGTCTGAGGGGGCATTCAAATTGGCTTGTTTGTTTCTTTTTTGGTTGAATTTAGTCAAATCAAATGACAGTGACCACAGGTATTTTGAATAAGAGCGATCCATCCTGCCCTTTTTAAAAGCTGTGTCTTTCTGGCACAACACTATGGTTACAGTTTATTTGGCATGATTCAGAGTGTTCCTAATTATCCAATTCTGTAGCTCATGCAGTTGGTTAATCTGTTTCCAAACACCGCTGTGGGCTGGGCACTCTGTGGTGACAACCCTGTGACGTATGGAGTCGGTTGTGGCATTAAAAGGGAGGATGGAGAAACCCCTTCCTCTGTTTTCGTCTTCTTTAACCGTTCCCTAACTGACACAGCACAATTCTAGATACATTGGAGTTGCCCTTCAATACTTGTATTGTATCTGATGCAGCACTGACTGACTGGGAGGAAAATTGGGAGAGGAGTTGCTGTGGCCGGCAGGTGACAAATGGCAGGGAAGTGGGCAAGAAGGGGGTGTCAACAGTAAAAAGGGGGACAAGTTGGAGCAATCTAAAGACCTGTCTAAAGACCCTTTGCACAGGAGAAGAAATGTCTCCAGTGCGAATAGAAGGATTACTCACGTCTGAGATAAAATAGATCACACTTTAGAACCTTTTAAGCAATTAGACTACTTCAATTGCCTGTGTCTCAACATGCCCTCAGTGGTTTTATGCCAGAGGCCCTGCCTTCCCACTCTTAGGCAGTGCTCAGGGTGGCCTGCGATAATCATTAATATAATAAAAACAAATGAAAGCAAATTCAACAAAAGAATAACTAAAAGAAAACTAAAAGAAATTAAGGACAAAAATACAAGCCATTAGAATCAATTAAGTCTACAAACATTTAAAACAATCAGGATGAATTAAATATATTACAATCCAATTTAAAAATATGTATCTTCACACTCTTCCTAAAAGCAGTGAGAGTGGACTGTAGCTTTGAGAGAAGTACATTGCACAGTCTACAAGTCACACAGGAGAAAGCCTTCCCTTACATCCTTGTCAAACAGACCTCTACAAATGTTGATATATTCTCAAGAGGGCCTCTCCTGAAGATCTTGACAATCAAACAGATTTGTAACAGATTAGGCAGTTCTTCAGGTAGCCAGATCAAAGTCATTTAGCCATTTCAAGCTGAATCAGAAAGTGATTTGCAGCCTGTATTACGTTTGAAATTGCTCACATAGAGACTGCAGGTTAATTCAGGAGTTCACAGTTCATACGGGGTGCAATGCAAGTTGCATTCTGTCCTTCCTTCCTTCCTCTACTGATCCTTTTATTATTTGCTGTGAAGCTGCTTTGTCATTTAAATCCTCAGACTACTGTGTTTCTGAAAAACATTTCTATAGAAAAATAACTTGGACAGCTACTTCATAGTCTCAGAACATCAAAAGTCTGAACAGTGATTTTACAAAATGCATAATGATTCAAAACTCAAAATTATTTCATAACAGGGACCACCACATCCCATCATCCATCCGATATTCCTTTATTTTACTTTCAAATAAAACATGCAGGAATTACCTCATCTCCAGTGGAATGTGATTTTAAACTAGTTTAAACTAGTTTATGTCACCAGAGAGAAATTTTTCAGAAATGTAGTAGTCTGACTTTTTAATGAGAAAGCTGCTTCACAGTAAACCATCATTGTGGGACTTTGCTTTTGGATGTCCCCACCCCATTCCAGTCCTGAACATCACACCTGACTGCCTATGTCATTAAAATACCACCTATAGATATGTCCCCCATCTTTTCAAGAATGCCTCACAATTAGAGATGGTGATATTCATATTTGTATATAAATATCTCCATGCAGCTGGACTTAACAAGGGCTGGTGCTTGTGGCCAGCCCATCCACTCATGCATCCACCAGCGACGGCAGCCTCACTCATCCTTCCAATTGTTCCCAAAGCTCCACTCTCTTCCTGCTTGCCTGGCCACTTCAGGCAGTGGGAAGAAGGACAAGCCTTCCTGCATGGCAGCTGAGTCACTAGTCGAGCATGTGGTCAGTTAAAAAAAATCCTTCAAATTAACCTGTTTTATAAGCAGAGCAAACCCAAGTATTTAAATATGTAGTCACAATCTAAGAAATCAGCACCTAATGCTGATCTTTCAAGAACTGAGGTAATGTGAAAACAATACTAGGCACCAACTAGCTGCCTAACTTCATCATCAATACAAGATCCCATAAAACTTTCAAGAGTAGCCCTATGTGAACCAAATTGCAGTAGTCAAAATATGATGTAAATAGGGACTAGACAACTATTGTCATGTAGATTGATTTAAAAATACAGTGGTGCCCCGCATAGGTCATCAATACAAGATCCCATAAAACTCAGTTTAATGCGTTCCTATAGGGTGAAAACTCACAGCTGAGCAAAGATCCTCCATAGCACCGCCATTTTCGCCGCCTCGGTAAGCAAGGAAACCGTGCGAAAATGCTTGCGGCGGCCATTTTTTCCCCGGTGGCCATTTTGGAACCGCCGATCAGCTGTTCTAAAACCATCGCAATGCGAAGATCAGTAAGTGAAACGCTTACCGATCATCGCAATGCGATGTTTACCCTATCTAAACATCGCAATGCGATCGCAAAAAAACGATCGCTATGTGGATTCGTCGTTAAACTGTGCGCTCGTTATGCGAGGCACCACTGTATTCCATCTTCTCATTTTGAAGGAGTTGGTAGCCTTGGACCTATGATGGCTTTCTCTCTGCTGCATTTGCTATTTCGGACATAAATGCTAATTCAACAAGTTATGCTGTTTGTATCGTTTCAGATACAGATCAAAATTGACCAAAATTATGCCAGACACAGAAGTTCCACAGCAACTTGTTCTATCAAGAGAAGCCTTTTATCACCAACTCTTATATCAGGACACATATTCCAAAATGTGCTCCCATATTGTATACATTGCCTTATCTACAAACCCTTCCTCGGGGTCCATCAGGATCGCGGCAGGTTGCAAAGATGTGTTCAGGAGGATCAGACATCTCCACGAGCTGCTTCACCAATTCCAGGCCAATTCCACGGTTTGAACCTGTCACCAGAATGCTACGAGCTAATACAGCCATCTTCTCCTTTCACTCTCAGCCTTTCAGTAAATGGTCTTTGTTGAGTGACTGTGTAAATATAAACCAGCTTTGCTGAGAAAAAGGTGTGCCTACCTTTGGCATACTATGTTCATGTGCCTGGGCTTGTTATATCTGTGTTTATGCTGGAAAGAGCACGTCTTAATCATGCATCTGAGACATTGAACAGAATGGGTGTCCTTGCAGGATGATGCAATTAAGCTGGGGGAGGTTTTACAACAGGAGTCCATAGTTCAAAGCTCTAGTCCCTGACTCTGCCATGTAAAGTATCTAGGATTACAGAGTAGGGAAGCATTTTTGCCACAGACCCCACAGAGCTGCTGTGCTTGACTAAGATTGCTCTTCATATCCTTTAGGTGTTGTGAGCCAGTTCATTTTGCTCTTTACAGTAGGTTCTTGTTCCATGTTTACCATTTGTTTCACTTTGTATCAAATATAAGAGAAAGAGAGAGAGAGAGAGAGAGAGAGAGAGAGAGAGAGAGAGTTTTCACAGTGATCAGCAGAATAATTCCTTAAGTTTCACCAAAAAGCTGTTAATCAGGATGGTGGTATAAATGAAGCAAATGGTGGTAAAGGAACTAGAAAGTGATCTGAAGAACTATTTGGACTGAAAAACAAACAGAAGGCATACGTGGGGAAGGACAAAAAAAATGATATGGACATGGCATCAGAGAATGCTAAATGGGGAATGCTAAACGAGTTAAATGGGAGCCAGAACAGCAACAGAACAGCCACAGAATTGGAAAAATTGATAAAAGACCTTTTCCAGCAACTCAGGTTGGAATTACAGGAGAACTAGATGTTGTCCCTCAGTCAGAAATTGTCTGCTGTATCTACTACAAAATTAACCAGCACAGAAAAAATCAGCTAATGGAGTCCTAGAGCTTGGACTCCATAATAAACATATTATCAGAGACATGTTTAAAAAAAACTACAACTGATTTTGCAAAACAAAGTTGAGGACCTAGAAAAAAGTAATTACCAGAGAAATTTAAGATTTTGCAGAATATAACAGCAGGAAAGAGCAAGATGTATTGATCTGTGCCTAGGCCTCAACCTCATTAAGCAAGTAATCAGATAAGCATTCAAGAGCATTAAGTCAAAGTTTTTAAACCAGAACATTCAAGTAAATGTTTGCTTTAGAATATTCCAAAAGAACATTAATTTGCTACAACTCAATAATCTGGGAAGAATTCATTACAAAGACAATTAATTCATTATGAAGTATCTGCATTCTAAGATACTGTTCCTGAGACCTCAAAGAAATTAAAGGAATGGAATAGAACAGTGAAGTTGGAAGGGGCCTATAAGGCCATCAAGTCCAGCCCCCTGCTTGATGCAGGAATACAAATCATAGGATATCTGCCAGTTGTCTAAATTTCTCTTTAATGCCTCCAGTGTTGGAGCACTTACCACCTCTCAAGGTAATTGGTTTCACAGGGATGATAATGAAGGACAGAAGCTGCTAGTGATGGGGATTCCCCTTCAAGACTGTAATCCAACACAGAAGGAACTTCAGGAATGCTTCAGCTGCCAAGCACTTGAAATACCTATGACAAAACAACCCAGAAAACCAAGTTTGGAAACAGCAAGTCAGAAAAAGTCCAGTTGACAAATTAATTATCAAAAGGGAAATAGATAATTAAAATTTTTAAAAATCCTTTGACTACCTGAACTTTCCAGAATCAGGATACTTTGGGTGGGGGTGGGAAATTCAGAAGTCAAAGGATTAACATTTAGAAAAGAACCACCATGGTTCTTTCACAATGGTGAAACCTGAGGCCTAGTATGTGGTTCCCAACCTTGGGTAAGCCAGGTTGTAGTGTTCACTCTGCTCATTAATATTTATGTTGAGATTTGCATGCACCAATAGGAGTTGGTGAGGAGAAGAGTTAAGGGGGGGTGAAGAAAAGGAGGGAGAAAGAGAAGGCAGTTGAGAGAGGAGGAAGAAGGTTGTTTAGTTGAGAATTAACGACATTGACTGGCCTGTTATCACTCGTAACAAGAAACAATTTCTACTTGGTTCTTAAATGAGATGTTGCCTGGACCTCTGTCATTAACAGTGAATAAAGTTCATGTAACCAACTGGTGGCAGCTGAACAACATGTAGCTTGTGTTCAGCAGGAACGTGACAAATTGGTGGCATAATGGTCAGATCCAAAACAATCCAGTGTGAAATTGAATTTTCTTGAGTCTGGACAGAATAGGGGTTATGATCTGTAGTGTAAGAAGTGGTTATTCGTTAAGAGTCTGGTGGAAGGCTTAGTTTCAGGGCTTCAGAACCCAAGTCTGAGGAATCTCAAGAAGAGAGAAAAGAACGAGTTCAATTTAATAAGAAAAATGAAATAAAAACTTAGTTATGGAGGCACAGGTTGAGCTCCAAAGTGCTGAGGGAAATGGGAACCCTGAAATTCAAAGTGAAGAAGAAACTGAGGGACCAGTAATAATTGCCTCAGAAGGAGAAAATATCCAAAGCTCCCAAGATTTTGAAAGATGGAAACTAGAACAGGAATTTAAACTGAAGGAGTTAGCTATGAAAAACCAATTAGAATTAGAAAAAGAAAAAACCAATTAGAATTGGAAAAAGGAAAAATCTTGAAAGGAAAAGGGGATTTCAGCAAGAAAACAGGCAAAGGGAATTTGAGCAAGAAACCAGGCAAATAGAAACGCAGTTCCAAATTGAGATGAAGAAAATGGAATTAATGAATTCGCAAAGGCTTTCACGGCCGGGATCTAATGGTTGTTGTGGGTTTTTCGGGCTCTTTGGCCGTGTTCTGAAG